GCCAAACCCCTTTTTGCACAATTTATTTTTGCTCCAAATCTCCCCAAATCCCTCTTCCCTCTACCCAAGCCACAGCAGCAGCACAGTGGGGGTGTGAAACACAGCTTGTGGTTTCCATCTCTTCCTATCTCATCGTTTCAACAACCACTTTGAACCAAATAAATTAACAGTTTATTATGATTCACCTGCCCAAATGTAGCGCTGGTGTTTAAAAAGTTTTACGTGTGATGTGGCACAACACCAAAATTAAAAATAAACGAGGGTGGTGGAGTGAAGAGGAATAGGGAAAATCCATCTTCTGGGACACCCCCTTCCCAAAATCTTTATTTTTTACAGTTTTTCTCATTATCTCTGAGCCATATTTTTAGATACCATCCAAAAAAAAAAAACACTGTTGCAGCTGTGCCACCTCAGGTGTTCTGTGGTTTATGCCACCAACAGTTTCTCTTCCCATATAAAATGAAATTCCATGGTGTTACATCAGTTTTTGCAAGGAGAGTCAGAGCAAAGTGCTCCCTGTCCTGTTTGTGTCCCTCTGTTTGCACAACCTCCATTCCTTGAACAGCAAAGCCCCAGGCAGGAGCACAAGGAGCAGCCCAGCAAAGGGAGCAGGGACGAGCCCAAAAGGATCAGCCTTAAAGCCAAAACCCCTGAAAATTCAGCATTTCAGAGGCAGGAACGCAGCAGCAGATCCCAAAATGGGATTAGGCTCAGTGAGATTATTCAATTTCTGAACACAGATAGGATGAATTATTAGAAGGCAACTCGATTTTGGAGCATCTGAAGTTGCCCATTGAGCTCATTTCACAAGAGCTGGGAACTACAGAAGTTCAGAAAGGCCAGGATTCCCTCCCATCCCACTGAGGAATCCAGCACAGAAATGCCATGGATCGATGCATTCCTCAGGCTGAAGGAGCTCATTCCTCAGAGACAACCCCGGAGCTGCCAAAATTTCATTTCTAACAGGACAAACTGCCCCAAAACCTGACAGGCAGGAGCAGCTCCAGCTCGCTGGAGGTTTGGAGACTCCCAGAGGAAGCTGCAAAGGATGGAGCTTTTTGTGTGCTGCTGTTTGTGAGGATGTAGAGGAGACTACACAGAGGGAAAAAAAAAAAAAATAAAAAGAACAGGAATTACTTAATCCTGACAACGTGGCTGAGGGAAATCCAGGACAGCTCCAGACTGCATCCTAGGGCATGGGAATATGGACAAGAGAATTGGTAAATGAATCCTCCAGAGCATCAGGAGTCACTCAGAAGCACCAGGAGATGCCTCCTCTCCTCTCTGCTGTTATTTGGCTGCTCTTCATCAGGCAGGAAGCAGAGAAATCCCAAATATAAGCATGGATTGGGATCTGTTGGGGCACGTTGCACATTAAACCAACACCACAGAGAATTAGGAGTCAATCTGGGTAATGTTTTCCCTCTTTGTTTGCTTTGCTGCACTAAGTGGTGATTTTCTCTGTGGTGGCCACACCTCCTGTAAAGGGACTAATCTGAATATGCTCCATGACATTCCCAAGAAAAAGAGAATTCCACTCTTCCTGGAATCAGAAACCCACATGCAAGTCCAATTTAAGGAGCTCTGCCCATATTCCACACCATATTTTATTTTCCTACAGTAAGGAATTATTATTATGAACCCCCCTCACGACTGGATTTGTGAATTACCCAACAACAATGGCTCAGGAATCTGTTTACGTGGCTCCACAAAAGACAATAAACCAAGTGCAAACCCAACCCAGCCTCCCCCTCCACAATTCACGCCTTATTTCAAGTCTGAAACAGACACAAAGTATTAGTCACAGCCCCAAATCGGGCTATTTTTACCCCAAAATAAGATTCCAGACTGAAAGGCCCTACTTCCCCCTGCTCAGCCAGGGGAACTGCCCTGGCAGTACCCACAGGTGAGGAGGAAGAGGAGGAGGAAGAGGAGAACTAAACACCCACTGCCTTCATGACCTGACAAAATTCCACAGCTCTGAAAGCAGCTCCCAGCCTCCAGACGTTTCTGCCCAATTTTCCCCCTGTGCCATGAAATGTGAACTCTCACAGACCTTGCATCAACCATTACAAACTGGTTTCTAGGAAGCAGAGAGGAATTTCCACCCATTCTGCCCCTCTGGAAAATAAATCTAAAGTGTGAACACACGTTTTGGAAGCTCTTCTGACCTTACACATCCTCAATGGAAAATCAGGAATTTAAAGGAAAACTGCTCTAAAAGTTCCCAGGTTATCCAGGTGAGCAGGTCAGAGATAATCCACGGATTCCTTCGATTTATAATCATGGAATGGTTTGGGATGGAAGGGGCCTTCACACTCATCCAGTGTCACCTCCTGCCATGGCAGGGACATTTTCCACTGTCCCAGATCATCCCTCTCCAACCTGGCCTTGAACACTTCCAGGGATGGAGCAGTCACAGAACACAGCAACCAAAACAGCCAAGAAACACAAAATTATGTTTAAAGGCACTTCTCGCAGCTCAAAATAAGCCTTTCTATAACACACCGACTCTTCCTGTATAAATATAGGTTTTAAAAATTAATTTTAGGCCTCAAAGGCTCCTCGAGCATTTTGCTCGTTTTCCAACTTGTCTGTTTTTTACTATGAGAAGAAAATAACATTCCAGCAAAGAAAGAAACCCCACCCAAAACAAGCCAAACAAAACTCTTCCCCACTCTTTTTCCCCTATGAATTGGGTTCATCGTGTCCTGGTGCAACCCTGATGAAAACCCTCCCAAAACTGGAATGAACTCCAGCACTGAGAGACAAAGGCTGAGGAAGCAAAGGATGTTGATGCCCTACTAGAAATTTCCCCCCAAAATCTGTCACCAACCTGCTTTTACTCTTTGCTCTGTATCCAGCCACTCTGCAGCAGTGCAAAATAATAATTAAAAAAAAAAAAAAAAGCTCTCAGGGGGTAAATGAAAAAAAAAAAAAAAAAAAAAAATCTGTGCAGGCAAGAAGAGCCCAGAACATTAAATACAAAAACCCTGCATAAGGCAGGGCTCATGTGCAGGCTCCTCTCTGGAGTTCCCAGGGTGAGCCCAGTGCTTTTAGCACTGGATGCTACAGAAATGGGAATATTACACACCCCAAACTCACACGGATCTGATGGAGGAAGAAAACAACCCCACGTGCAGTGGGGGACCACCAGCATTTCCTGCACCTTTCTCAACTCCAGGGCTGAGGAATCCCACACGGAGGTTTGGGGAGCCAAAGCCTCTCCAGTTTACCATTAACCAGCATTTTCCCCTCATGGCCATCCCACCCCTCTCCAACAGCCACGTCTTTACCATTCCAGGCTCTTTTTTGTCCCCGACACGGGCCGGAGAAGCAGCGAGCAGGGATTTCCATCCTCCACAGCCTCTGGCAGCGATGGGAAGTAAATCCCGCGCTGCCCTTCCTCCCTACCCCCTCCTCCTCCTCCCACGGGAAGACAGCTGGGACAACAATGCGGCTGGAATCGCCCTGGCTCCACACTCCGCTTTGTGCCCCGTCCTTTGAATAGATCTCATTGTTTACCCTCCTCTCCTTCCGTCCTCTCCATCCCCCACCTCCCCGTAAGCAAATTTTTCCCCCAGGCTCCTGCCCCGAAATAAAGAAGCGGCGCTGGGGGCTCCTTTCCCCCCTTGAAGACCCCCCCAGCCCCGCTCCCCAAAAGCTGCGGTGTTTTCCAGGAGCAATTCCCCACATCTCCTGCTCCACCATCAACTTCCCCGCAGCAACACGTTGGCAGCAGCTCCGTGCCCCCCAAATTCCCCCGGGAGTTTGTGACAGACCAGGGCACCCCCAAAATGGGGCGGGGGAGAGGTTTCACCCCGGTACCCCCCAAACTCACACCCCCTCGATCCTCCCCAGCCCCATTCACAGCAGGGCTTCCCCCTCGAGTTTGGAGCAGATGGGGAACCCCCTCCCCAAAAAGGGATGGGGGGAAAGAGGTTTCACACCAACGCCCCCCAAATCCGGGAGTCCAGGCCTGAGCCCCCCCCACACCCACAGACCCTCCCCAGCCTCATTCACACTGAGCCCCCCACGGGACCCCCAAAAACGGGGCGGGGAGAAGTTTAACACCAGTACCCCCTAAAACTCGGGGGTCACAGCCCTGAGCCTCTCTGTGTCCTCACAGCCACCCCCGACCGACCCTCAACCCCACTCACAGCCCCCCAGCCCCCATTTACAGACCCCCAGCCCCACTCACAGCCCCCCAGCCCCACTCACAGCCCCCCCAGCCCCACTCACAGCCCCCCCAGCCCCACTCACAGCCCCCCACCCTATTCACAGCCCCCCAGCCCCATTCACAGACCCCCAGCCCCATTCACAGCCCCCAGCCCCATTCACAGCCCCCCCAACCCAACTCACAGACCCCCCAGCCCAACTCACAGCCCCCCCAGCCCCACTCACAGACCCCCCAGCCCCATTCACAGCCCCCCACCACAGGAGTTTACATTCATCGAGGGAACAAATCCCCCCAAAATTGGGGGGTGGAGGGGAGAAGTGTCACACCAACCACCCCCAAACTCGGGGGGCACAGCCAGGAGACCCCCGAATCTGCACCCCCATTCCAACAGACCCTGCGGTGCCCCCCTTGCTTTGCCCAGGGGGGATCTCAGGGGGGATCTCGGAGCCCTCAAGGGGGATTTAAGAGCCCTCAGGGGGGGATCTCGGTGGGATCTGAGACCCCTCAGGGCGGATTTCGGGGCCCTCAGGGGGGATCTCAGGGGGGATCTCGGAGTTCTCAGGGCGGATTTCAGGGGGGATCTCGGGGCTCTCAGGAGGGATCTCGGGGGGACTCTGAGACCCCTCAGGGCGGATTTCGGGGCCCTCAGGGCGGATCTGAGACCCCTCAGGGGGGATCTCGGAGCCCTCGGGGGGGATCTCGGAGCCCTCGGGGGGGATCTCGGAGCCCTCGGGGGGTCGCACCCACCGCGGCCCGGCCTCTCCCTACCCCGGCTCCTCCTCAGCCGGGCCTGCCCGCGTGTGACCGGCGGGGCCCTCACCTCAAAGCGGCTCTTGGTGACCCCGTTCATGTCCCTGCGCATGGCGGGGGGTGCGGGGCTGGCGGAGCGCGGCCTCCGCCCGGCGCCGCCGCCGCCGCCGCGTCCGCTGCGGCCTCAACTCGTACCCAAAACAAAAACACTCGGCACCTGCCAGCAACGAGCGCCGTCATTGGACAGCGCCGCGGGGAGAGGGAGGGGAGGGCACCGGGAGGGGGAGGGGAGCGGCACCGGGGAGAGGGAGGGGAGGGAGGGGAGAGGGAGAGGGAATGGGAATGAGGGGTTTGGGTGCAGCGCGCACGGGGATGCGGTGAGGGGAGAGGCACTGCCCGCGCTGCCTTGAGGATGCGGGTTGTACCGGGGAGGGTGAAGGGATGGGGAGAGGGAGAAGCGGGAGGGACGCACAACCGAGGATCCCCCCCCCCCCGCCCCATCCTCACCTACCCCGCAGGCCGCCGCCCCCATCGCGCCGCCGTGGGGGTCCTCCCGCCCCCTCGCTCCGCCCGCGGTGCCGGGGGTGCGGGACCCCCGCCCCGTCCCCAGGATTCTCCCCCCGGTGTCCGGGGGGCTGCGGGGATCGGGGGTCCCGGGAGGTGGGGGGGGTTTGGTTGGGGGGGGGTAATCCCCCGCCTCTCCGCTCTTCTCTTCCGGGAGCGGCGAGTTCAACCAATCAGCGCCCCGCGCGGGGGTGACGTCACGGTGATGTCATTCTCGCGGGAAAATCAAGCATGGCGGGGATGCCCCTGTGACCCCCCCAGCACAGAGCCGAGGCCGCTTTGTACCAAAGGGGTTTATTTGCATGTAAATAAACATGTTCTCTGCGATATTTCCAAAAAAAGTTGGAATTCCACTTTCCACCCCCCCCCCCCCACCAAAAAAAACCCCGAAAAAACTGCCGCGGAAGCCGGGATATTTACAAATCCAGCGGTTTTCCAGCCAGGGATTTATGTACATCATGATAATCGAGGAAAGAACCAGTTTCTTTTAATCTCCGTGCTCACTTCACCACCTGAGATTAAAAGGTTTGGCTTATATTTAATTTTATCTTTCTGAATACTGAAAGATGTAAAATTATTGAGAATATAAGCAAAAATATTCCAAAAATAAACCATTTCTCAGAGCCCGAGCACTGACACCCCAAAGCCTCTGGGTGGTCACGCACCTCAGCTCTCCCAGGACTGACGTCATTGGAAGGGGACAGGGCACCAAAACGGGGTGAAAAAGCTTTACATTTGGGCTGGAGGAGACGTTGTTCCCTCTGTTCCCACCCTCCACAGGGAGAATTTTGGATACTGAGCTTTGGTCTGGGTGAGGTGAGAGGAAACCAGTGCAGCTTGTTCCTTTAAAACAGGTTTTTGTGTCAATTTTGCCGCTTTCCCTTCCAACTTTTAGTGCGCTGCACAGCAAGAAAACACAGCTCTGGCTAAGGACGAGTCCAGGGAGCCATCCTGGGGAATTCCCAGCCTGGATTCCACTTGAAAGTGCTTCTTTTGGAAGGCTGGTTGTGCCCTTGCACAACTCGCGACGGATCGAAGGGATTTTGTCCACAAAAAAAAAAAAAAAAAGGAAAAAAAAGGATTAAATAAAAGCATGAGATGGGGGCAGGCAGCCCATTCCCAACAGAGCCACTGGAGCAGGGTATCCAGCTGAATTCCTCTGGGATTGCATTCCTGACATCCTCTTTGCAGAACCCTGCAGTGCCAACGCTGCGCCAGGTATCAGCGTTCGCTCGGATTTATTTCCCATTTTATTCTCATTTCAAGCTCTGGTGAGGGGGAGGTTGTGGCGTGCAAGACACCAGGAGCAAGGGATAAATACTGGAAAATGTAAGGAGGGAAAGTTCTCCAGAGTTGGAGGAAGTTTGGGAGACATTCAGGCTCCCACGCTCTGCCGGAACCCTGGAATTAAAACTGGAGGCAGGAGGAAAGGGGTGACAAATCCCTCCAATTAACAGGATAGTTGCCAACCTACTAAAAACCAAACAGATTTCCTGGGGTATCCCTGGGGTCGCAGCCCAGGATGGGAAGTTTCAGTGGTTTCAAAGAAAAACTCAAATCCTTGACAGCTTTTCACGCTGCATGCCCAAAGGTGAAGCACAACCTCATTCCCACGGGGAAATCCTGGCCTCCAGCACCCACAGCAAAATCCAGCGGGAGCAGGATCCTGCTCAGTACATAATTCCACAGGAGATGTGTTCGCAGAACTCCTGATTTCCCACATTCCTCTTCAGTGAATCAGATGAAACTGCTTTTAAAAATAAAACAACTCTCCTGAGTCTCTTTTCCTTTCAGGGACCACAAGATCAGCCCGGAGAGGATGCCTGAGTCACGCTCCTAATTCCAGCCAAAAGGGGAAAATCCATCTTTTAAGGAAATCAACACTTCTGCTGCAACTCTGATCCCAGCTGAGCCACTCTGGGACTGTTTTCCAAGCAGGACACGGCTCCCTTAGCTGGAAAATCTTTTCCCTGTGTGTGACCACAATTCCCAGCTCAGCAGCACGAGGAGATTCCAGGGGAGCTTGTTGGTGCAGGCAGGATTTCCCTTTCCACTGAGATTTGGTGGAATTTCACCCTGCTGGAATGTCACCAAAGCTGCGGAGCCACCCAAACCCACGGGTTCTACCCAAATTCCTGCTGGGGGAAAACAAGGAGCACGAGGTGTTCCCACATGGAGGTGAATAAATAGCTAAAACAAATGGGAAGGCAAACCCAAGGCAGCAGCAATCCCTCAGAGCTGTGACCCGGGATAAAATCCTGATTTCCATGAGAAAACAGTGCCCAGCTCGTGCCAGAGGCACCGTGCTAAGCTGGGCATTGAATGAAGAAATGCTGTGGGAATAAAATAAATTAAAAACCTCGTGGTCTTTCCTTCTTCCAAAGAATTAAAACCCAGCCCTAAAACACTTCCTAAAATAATTACTTTAAAACTTCCTTCATCCAAAAGGAGCTTATCCTGAATGGGAAGAGGGCAGAGGGACTGGATCTCCCAGACCAGCCTGTGTCTGTTTGCCCCATCTGGGAGCTGCTCCCACATTCCCACACTCGGTTTCATCCCCGTTAACTCTGACAGGGATGATAATACTCATCAATTTAGGAGGAATGGAAGTGCCCACAGGATGAAGCCCACAGGCTGCTGGCACTCGCATCCTTCTGCACAGACCTTGGTGGTCTGAAAATCTTGGAAACACCTTGGAAATACTTATTTTTCCCCCCTCTCCAAACACGCCCCGTGAAGATCTGTGTGGCAGGTTTGAGATTAATCCTTCCTTCCCACCAGGACCTGCAGACAGCTCATCTGGGAGAATTAATTGCCAATTAAAGCAACATCCATGAGATCATCATCTTCCTCCCCGATCAGGAACTCGGGGCTGGCCCGGGACGGCCGCTCGGCCGAGAGGATGGCGTTGCTCGCCATGGACAGAGACTGATCCGCCGAGATCGGAGACTTGGACCAGCTCTCGGGCTTCATGCCGTGAGATTTCTTCTTGTCCCTGTCCTTATCCCGGTCCCGCTCTCTGTCCCGGTCTTTGTCTTTCACTTTTTTCTTCTCCTTTTTGTGCTTCTTGTGCTTCTCGGCGCTGTAGTCGGGCAGGGGCCGGATGCCGTCGTCGGAGCTGGGGCTGTTCTGGTAGGATTTCTCGGCGATGGAAGAGCCCGACTCGCTCTCGCTGTCGATGTTCTGGGGGGTGTAGGCCGGGGATTTGCTGTGGCTGGGGGAGCAGCGCTCGTGTTTGGGTGTGGAGCCGCTGATCAGGGGCGAGCCGTAGCTTTTGGAAGAAGCCATCTGAGGCCTCAGGCCGTCCCCGCCTCCTTCCCCGGGTTTCTGCAGAGTTACTTTGGCTTTAATGCTGGGGGAACCACCATCGTGTTTGCTGATGATAATTTTGGCCACTCCCGTGCTTCCGACGTTTTTGGAATCCGAGTTCTTCTTGGAAGAGTCAACGGATCCTCCAGAAACAGAGACCTTCGACTTCTCCTTGTCGCTCTTCTCCCGCTTTCCCTGGAACTCCCCTCCAGACATGTTGTGTTTGGAGGACATTGTATGGCTTGAGGAATTGGAACTGGGCCCCATCTGTCCATCCATGGGGTCGTCTCCGCCAGGCCCGCTCGTGACCACCCCGTGCTTCAGCTTGTCTATGACTGCGGTCAGCGATGGCTTCTTGTTTCTGCTCGGGGACTTGCCTTTGGAGCTTCCATGCTGGTTCTGGGATGAAGACATGGAAGACCCGCTGGACGAAAAGGAAGATGAAGACGCCGTGGAGGAACTGGACGAGGGAGGTGGTTTCTGTGACATAGACCCAGAGGATCCCATTCCTGAAGATGATTTCATGCTCGAGCTCGATCCAGCCCCAGACATGTGGGACCCACCAGAACCTGAACTGATGGGTGACTTCGCTTTAGACGACGGGGGAGTACCCGGGACGGGTTTCATGGGAGAGGCGAGTTTGTCAGAACCCCCCGAGGGTCTCGAGTGGGACGGGGAGATGTTTGGTTTGCTCATGGAAGGGTTCATGAGGGACGATGGCTTTCCTTGAGGTTTCATCTTGGTGCTGCCAGAGCCGGTGCTGAGGCCGTGCTTGGTGATGGGGGAGGATCCCGGCTTTCCCACCGACTGGGCCGAGCCCTTGGACTGACCCGACCCGGAGCCGCCTTGGCTGGAGTAGAGGCTGCTGCTCATCTTTGAGCCAGAAGACCCTTCTGATTTGCTTTTAATTTTGCCTGAGGTTGAAGAGGAGGAAGAAGAGGAGGAGGAGGAAGAATGGCTATGATGGCTTTTGCTGCTGGAGGAGGTGACGGAGCCACTACTCGTGTACTGGCCGTGTGAAGATGGTTTGCCAACAGTCACTGTTCCTTTTGGGATCTGAATGGTTATTTTTGGAATAGGAGGAGTGGCTACCCCGGGAGGAGTCTGGGATCTGCCCGAACTCCCCGGAGATTTGGACCCACCTGTGCTTGCTGGCGGCGTGAAGGGCCTGTTGGATGAACTGTGGGACGGAGATTTCCCATCTGTCTCCTGCTTCTTCCGCTTTGGAAGTTTCTCTTTGCTTTTGCCATCGCTGGACGGCGTCCGGCTGCGCTTCCCTGGCTTCCCATCTATCCCGGCACCTGCCATGGCACTTCCAGAGCCATTGCCTTCCTTTACCCG